CTCCCCCCCCCCCCCTCCAATACTTACCTCGTAGCTCCTCGAGGATATTCATACACCCAAATAGTTTTGTGTAGGTTTAGCAATGCGCAATAAATAAGTAGCATTAAGATAGTGTTAATCGAGTGATAACGTTACCCGCGTAATGGAGGTGAGTAGAATATGTTCAAAAGTATTCGTTTGTTGATAATTTCTGTTTCCATATTAGATAATCATGTAAACGACAATTTGCGTTTTTGATAATGCACAGGAAGTATAGTTTGGTTCTTTTGTTCGGTGGAATCATTGAAATTTGCACGCGTGTGTGTTTCGACTCTTTGACGCCACTAAAAAATTAACACGATCGAATAATTTATGGGTAGGAATAATTGATGTTTATACATCCGTAAACATTGTTTTCTTTTTATTATTTCCATCCAAGATATGGAAGAATTTTTATTACCCTGAAACGGTATATTATTGTATAAAAATATTTTTTCTACATCAACTTCAAACCAGCAGAGTATATATCAGAAAATTGCCTTTTTTCATGACTCAGCGATTATGTTAATTCAAAATTGTTTATCTTTTTGTTTCATTATACATATATATACAGTCGATGTTTATAAGCAATTTAATAACAAAGCAATAGTCTAGGATGTAGCGATTAAAATTTTTTTTACAATTGAAGTAGAAACACGTGTTCATTGCAATGTTGGAATATCGCGTCTTTGAATTTTAATGCAAAACTTAATGGAGTTCAGCTGAACGAAAAGAAACACGAACAATAATTGGTGCTCTTATGAAACAAGAATGGTATTTCGTGCGTATAATTCCTAAGTTTTTTATCATTAGCTTTTTATATTATGTCGGCAATACACTCTTGCAATAAAGTTTCTTACAACCATCAATGTACGTCTGTTAGTTGACTTTTTTATTTTCTAATAAATTCAACTCGTTTTATCGGCACTATAAACGATTTTCGTTGCGAAGAAAAATTTGGAATTTTTTTTTTCTCTCTAAAAGTACGTAAAAATTACAATATAAAATGAGGATCAAAGGCAAAAATCATAGTGTAAGGTCCCTAAGTAACGACTGGTTATATTGTTTCATAATGAAAATCCAAATTCATAGAATATTTTGTTATGTTTAAAAACTGATCGAACTCTCGGCAACATCTGTTGCACAAATCGTGTGAAAACGTTTTAACAAAGGTGCCGTTACTTAAAAAAATTCTTATCGATTCAAGACCGAGTAACCAAGTGTGATGATTGTCTGTTTCCAGTGCAATAGCTAGCGTGTCAATAATGGCAAAGTTACGGCCGCCAGAAAAGTTAGACCTGAAGTTACTGACCCTTCAGCTGGAAAACAGCATCGACTTGGCGTCGATCATCAAAAAGTCCGTGAGCCTGGATAGTCTGAGCACGTGCTTGTACTCCTCGAGTCCGGAGGACTCGGGCGTCTGTCCCTTGGTCAAGGAAAAGCTGATCAACGAGATTGAAAGCCTCATCGACACCGTTCACAACATCGACATCAAGGACAACGGGGACATTGACTCGTCCGACGATGAGAGTTTGGAAAAGCTCAGTGATGACGAGGATGACGATGATGATGAGGGTCTCATCGAGCGCGGACCCGTCCGGCCCCAGCTGTACCCGATGTACAGCAACAGGTCGAGACCATACGTCGACTGCGTCTTACCAAACGAGAGTTCCACAGACTACGACATCAGTGCCAAGGAGATCCTCATGGACCAAGGCAACCGGCGGAAGATACACTCCTGCCTGGACCAGCTCTCGAAAATGTCCCCGATTGTTAACTCGTCGTCCCCGGCTGACTCGACTTTTGGCAGCTCGTCCACGTATTCGGTGAGTCGATTGGTTCTATTACGATGCGCTTCCTATTCAATGTCTGACAAAGACTTGGTAAACTGGTTGGGCACGCGCTGATCGGTAGAACCAGATATCGCAGTGGTTTTTTCGAGCTAATTGACTGTGTCGTCTATCTATTTATGGAAATCTCTGTGTCGTTCCAATGCGGTCGTTGTCCTCCGATGTAACATCAGCGACGTCGACAACAAAATACTTGACAAGGGGTGGCTTAGGTTTCATTGGATCAATTTCTCGTTTATCGAAAGAGTTGGTTTTGCTTGTGGATGGCATTACCTGCAAGTACACAGTTTTTTCACCGTTCGGGCTTTATCAAGAGTATACGTGTGTCCGGTATCTACAGCGTTCTGAAACAATTATTTCTTATGCAGTGTCGGAAATAATTGCAACCAGACCTTAAAAGCACACGTTTTAAGAATGTCATACAGCCTGTGTTTGGGAAACTTTGTAACGTTTTAACAAAGGGTTTTAGTGAAGTTGTTAATACGTCGATCACTGCCTTTTTGTGACAAAAAATCACTTGGGGCTTCTTTATAAGTTTATGTGCATGCAGATGGTGATTAACATCTGGATGATAGTATCTGTAGTGGAGAACTAAGCTGTTTTGAGATGATTTTCAGCAATATTTATGTATTGTTTCCATTGACTTGATGTGATATGATCCACATAGTACGACAAGCAAATGCACGAATAAAGGGGTTTGGATATTGGACTTTTTAATTCAAAAATAGTAGCAGTAATTTTCGACGAGATCAACATTTTTGTACAACTTTATTAGAACCTATTTTTTGAAACGTTTCAAAGTTTTAAGGATAACAAATATTTTTAAGATTTTTATAACGTTGTGTGCTATTAGGGAAAGTACATAGAACAATACAACTCCGATAAAAGTCTGTGATAAAGTTATTAAAATTTAATTTTACAATGACAACTTTTTAAAATTTCATGCTAATCTGCGTTCTCTTATTTAAGTATTGAACCACCTCAAATATAAAAAAATGTATGGTACAATCATACTGTTAGATCAGAAACAAACTGTTGAAGAAATTACGCAATATATGGCCTTTTCATAATTATTATCAAGACACAGGTGTGAATAAACAGTTATTAATACTAGTATGGATCCTAACACAACCAATTACCAATACTACTATTGTTATTGATATTGTTATTGTTATTGTTATTGTTATTATTATTATTATTATTTTATATCATTATTATTATTATTCGCATACACATGAATTGGTAATCGAAGGATTATGTATTCCCAGGCGAATCATTTCTATTATATATGTACACTTATCGGCAGATGAGCAATTGTTACGGGATAAATAATTGATATATATTAATGGATGAATTGTGACGACAGACGCATACGATTTGTACAAAAATATGTGTATTTCCCAAAAAAATATATAACAACTATTTCAAAACTTTTATTATCCTCTATGGCTTCGATCGATGGCACTAATCTTTTTGGGTATAATTTTTAGTCTAAATTTGATAAAAGTATCCCTTCTCATTTAATATCTCGAAAAAGCTATTACGCCGGACCTAACGATTAAGATCACGTCTACGTCGGGAATTAGAGTAACCTCGTTTTTCTCGAGAAATTATTGTAAAACAACCCTTGCTCTGTGCATTTGATAGCAGGCCAGAGAGTTTAAGGCAAAATCCTCCAACAAGCGAACCAAGTCTATACCTAAGAAACAGATAAATAAATAAGTACATAAATATATTGTTTTATCAACAGCCACCTCAGCAGCAGCAGCAGCAGCCCCAGTGGCAGCAGTCGAATGGATCGCCCACAGGCGGGTCCTCCTCCTGCTTCGTGCCCTCGATCACAGTGAGCGAGTCCGAGTCCTCGTTACTCGAGATCCTGTCGCGGGGAGGTTTCCAGTCGGCCCAAACGCCCGAGCACACCAGCACCGGGAGCGTGGCCTGCATCCCCCTAGACACCTGCCCGGACTCGCCGGCCGGCAGTTACAATGCCTGTGCCGCCTCTAGACCCGGCAGTCAGGCCTCCAGCCCCGCGCAGAGCCCAGGGTCCATGAACGGCTCCGTCTACGGTGGGCCCTCTTTCCTCAACGTCGTAGGCAGCCCTATCGGATCGCCCCAGGTAATTTACGACTGGATAAATCTGTCCCATATTACATGCGCACCGCGTTTTCGTACTTTATACAATGCTTGCGAGCATAACAGACTCCACCTGTATGTGGCACGAAGACCAAAATTGCTGCTCAATCTTCATTTTTCTAGCGATGATTCGCACAACCGGTTACTATAATTGCAGCCGCGCTATGTGGAATCGGTTGGTTTTTTTATTCCCTCGCCAAGTGTGGAGTTCGATTGTCGGTGAGCTCGGAAAACTACATTAAAATCTCATTAAACTTTAATTTCTTGTCTTTGATGATTGTCGTGTACTTTTTTTTTTTCGAGCCGAGATCGAGTTTTGAACAACGCAACTGATAATAAGGTGTGCTCGCGTCAGTGAGAAGTGAAAAAAAAAAAATATACGACTCGCGCGAGTCTTTTATTAAGCAACAACAAACAAGTTTTGTTTAATAATACCTTATCTTCTGTAAAAACATGCAAACAATAAGTGGGGCAAATTCGTGCGCTAGGCATTATATACTACTGCCCGACCGTATAATATCATGTTGAATTGCCATGACAGACGCGACATCAACAACCGATCCATCGTCCAGATTTGCAAGCTTAAGACAAATTTTTCAGCGAAGGTTATCCGAAATTGTTTTTGCAACGAACTCTATATTTGAAAGATTACGTTACGCCTACTCTTAAAAGTATCCTTCAAGTATTTAAAGACACCAAAAATCTTGCTGTTTTACCCACACCACTAAGTGTTCGTCCTGTATATTTGACGGTCTTTGAGTTTGTAGACAACGCGTCGCGGGTAGGGAATGAAAAAAGTTACAAAACATAAAACTTTGTTAAAAATCTCAAGTATGGGTGTCACCACGCTTATTTGCCCCAATTTTTTTTAATCCGCAATAAGAAATAATACCAAAACAATTGACGCAAAGTTTGCACGATCCTTTTTTTTTTTTTTTTTTTTTTTTTTGTAATGTGTGACAAGATCAATTGCATATTTGTTGTTGAAAATTATTATCACAGCCAACGTCAAAATAAAGCAGAAAAAAAAAAAAAAAAAAAAAAAAAACATTCGTCAATCTTGGGTCAACAGAGCGGGAAAAATATTGCCCGCGATCGAAGCAATCCGTGAAACAACACGACCAAAGATGCTTATCGGCCCCGCGCGAGACAACTTCTTTGTTCCTCAGACGCTCCTTAACATCATCGCGTCACCGGAATCCCCGATTCTCAATGATATACACACCTACCCTTGAGAAAAAAAAAAAAAAAAAAAAAAAAAAAGAAAAGACTCATCCTGACCGAGGTATTCCCCTACGGAGAAACAGGGCTTCCTCCGGCGCGTTACTCTCGCGAGCACTTACGTAATAAACACACTATATAGGTACACGCGTAACGAGCGTTCTTATCCGAGCCGAGCAAGCGCGAGACGATCGGAGAGAGAAGCACGTGCTCTCGCTGCAGCAGCCCCGTATGTATATATGTTCTTTTATCGAGTTGATAGAATGTTACGTTGTAGCGCTGGAGCCGGGGCAACCATCGGTAAAGCGCATACATGTATATCCAGGGACCCGAGTCGCGTATACATTATTGTACGGGCGATATACTCGTTAATTCGATTTTGACACGGTTTACTTGCTTGCATTGACTTTTTGCACGAGCGCGCAGATAACGCACACGCGAGGCCTTGAACGGCAACGACCGCGGCGTTATCTGTCGAGAGAGAGAGAGATTTTTCGCGCTAGAATCTCGGTCGCGGTGGAAACACGCTCTCGTGAGAGATGACGCGCGTGTGGATGCAGACCCTCAAAAAAAAAAGTGCTCGTCTTAGGTGTCACCGCTGGCCAACAACGGCTTCCGCTGCTACCCCCGGCCCTCGTCCTCCTCCTCGTCCGGGCAGTCGTACTGCGAGACCCCGAGCCCGGCCAACTACCATAGCCCCCTCGACCACCACTTGGAGGAGCAGCTGGGCGAGCACATGATGACGCAGATGCCGGCCTGGCACGAGGTCTTCGAGTCCTCGGAGACCCTCGTCAACACCACCGTCGGTCTGATCAGCAGCGAGTTACAGCTTCAGATCGTCGACGAGGTCATCCGGGGTGACCTGAGGACTCCCAACCAGATACCAGCGGTGACGAGTGGTTATCACCACCACCAGCAGCAGGTGGTGTCGCCGGCCGCCTCGTGTTTGGACGGGGTGGACGACGGGGACGAGTTGTCGCTGGTGCGCTTCACCGGTGGTTGCGGCGAACTGGCTTTGGGGTCGCGGGATAGGCCAGAGCCGAGCCAGAACTCGACCTCCGGCTACAGCAGCAGCAGCAGCACCGGTAGCGAGGCCAGGAGGGTTTGCGACGCCGGCTGTGGCCAACCGGATCTGCGGGCGGGGCTCGAATTCTCCTCGAGGATGCAGGCGCAGGTACTCCATATTTCGATGAACTTTCAAGTTAGTGGCGGGGTCGTTGTCAAGTCTCCTAATCAAAGTATTCGTGGCTGTCATGTACAGAAAAAAGCATCGATTTCGGGTGATGATTATTTCTGATAAATACACCTTGTATCTCTACCTTCCTCCTCAACCAATTTTTACTGAAATCTGAACATAACTTGCATCCAAGTGTGATTTTCCATCAACTCACGAGTTGCAATTTTTTTTTTCCTTTCTTTCCTCCTTTTCTTCTAATACACTGCGTAGGCTCGTCTTTTTTTTTTTTTTAATGTCTACCTACAAATTAGCCAAATTTAAGCACCAGAGCAGCGATATAACAATGCTTTAAAGAGCTCTTTTGGATTGTAGGTGTTCCCCCAGTCTAGCTCAGTTTTGGGTAACAACCACATCGAGTTCCAGTTACCAAAATCAGTGCCAATTTACAGCTCTCAACGATCTGACGGGTGAGTGCGTTTATTTTTTCTTTCTTTCTTTTTTTTCTTTGGTGAGGTTCGCAATATGGAAGGGGAGCTAGCTCGGACACTTTATAGATGTATATACTTACGTTCAAACTCCTTATTAAATTTTTTCGATAAGTAAGACTTTCAAACAATTTTCATTAATTTCACCGTGAGGATTTTTCGAGAAAGTCTACCCGAGTATCTATTGTTATTATTATTTGTCGATTTGTTGACCCAAAGAATAGAGAAAAACTATTTTTCTTTTCCACCACTATGTCTCTACGGATGAATCACTGTAGGTCCAAACTATAGTTGATGTGACAAGGGTTGAGACGCTTCATGGAAAATAAAAGTAAAAATAATTTTTGCATCACGCGCGCATACGAACGTAATGGGTATAATTGACAATAGTGGTGAAACCCATAGAACGCAAGCACGCCAGACGGTGAGAATTGAATTTATGTGGTAGCTCCAGTAAAGGGAGTGGCAGACTCAATTGCACCCCGAGGACCGGGAAAACAGGGGAGGAAGGAGGAAGTCCCGGTGAACGTGTCCTCGCGCCGTGGCCGTTCTTGAATCTACCCTCGACGCAGGCAAGCGAGCGGCTGAAGGAAGCGACCGATTCGCGCGAGGTCGCGAGGGCCATGAAGAGCCTCTTGAAGAGGTCGCTCGACCAGCTGGCCAAGGGGGACGAGGACGGAGACACGTGAGTATACGTGTATTCCTAGTTGTACAAGTGCACCGTATGCCTAATGGCTCATATCGACTCTTTCTTTCTTTCTTCCCTTTCATCACTTTTGCATTTCTTTTCTCGTCGATTCTGCTGGTACTTAGGATAAAATTAGTTCTTTGCTTTGGAGATTGACTCCATAGGTATCTTCATTCAAACCCTCCTTACACCCCATCGGTTCTCGTTCACTTTACTGTCCTGGCCATCCCAGAAGTATGAGTTTCATGCCGAATCGGTGACGTAAAGTTCAACAGGAGTAATTTTTTTTTTCATCTTACAAAAAAAAAGCGTTATTTAACGGCTTTCGAACGAACCTTCCTTTTTGTGATTGGAGCTCAAGAAAATTCATCATACCCAATCATTTAGTTAAAAACATCAAATTAATCCTTTCCGACTCATTTGACATTTGATCCCTGCTCTAGGACAATAAAACCCTGCATGGCCATCCCTATACCATTGGGCAACTCGAAAAAACAAACAAAATGACTTGTGAAAAAAAAAAAAAAGAAAAATTCATCAACTTTTGCTCAGAATCCTAATGTGCCTGGTGGGAAATCCTACGGAGCTAAAGAAGAAGCTGGCGTACCTGGCACCTTTGGTGGAGCGGCTAGGCACGATAGACGGGGCTCTATCGATGCTCAACTGCCGAGGCGAGGACGCGCTCTACCTCGCTGCCATGAATTGTCCTGAAATGGCCTTCGTAACCGGTTACCTCGCGGCCGCCTTTCTGCAGAATAATATCGACATCGGACAGAGACTGTATCGATCCAGGGTTAGTTACGTCGAGTTATAATTTTCAAATATTTGCCACGTCTGGTTATGCCACGGAAACATTGCGTGGGTGATATTACGCGACAATTGCAAATCATTAGGATTCACCCATGATTTTACAAAAAATTTTGTCAGCAACTGTTGAAAATAATACAAGCATCAAATTCGCGAGATTTCAGCTTTTGCGCGTAGTTTTATAATATAAACCTACAAATTACGACAGACGAACGAATTTTCTGTAAAACTTTTGCGGGATTCATTGGGATATTATATTAAAAACATAAATGCAGCTCTCTACACCTGCTCTCATTTTTATACGAAATATATCCTTAAATAAAATTGGTTCGATTTGATAAACTCGTATTTTTTCAGTAATCATACCAATTGAAAATAAAAAACTTATTTGAACTTGCTGAAAATTTTGTGTATTTTTTTTGATTATTGAACAAAATATCGCCGATTAAGGGACTGGAAAATTATACAGGAAATAAGTAATGTGAGTAAATATGCTAAAGTTTTACGATTATTAATAAAGATTAAAAATGAAGTGAAAAACAAGTGCGTAGTGAGTCCTGTTTATTTGTAAGTATTTTATAACTTGTTGCTTGTGCAGGGAGATACACTGATCCACGCGCTGGCAGCAAAAGGCGACAATCACGGTGGAGTTCTTGCGGAGCTACTTTCACTCAAGACACCGCAACAAAATGCAGTCTTCGACCTTTCAAAGCGTAATTACGATGGTGAGTCGCTGAGCCATTACCAATAAAGTGTGCTTAAAAACCCAAAGTTAAGACAAAAATCTGCCTCGTTTACCAAACAACATGATGTCTGAGACAACACTGAAATGTGTATATACTTTTATACAAGTATCCCGTTAAAACCACTCTAACAATATGATTGCCAACTTTATGTTTTTACAACCTCTTCGCTTTTTTTTTTGTTTCATTGCGGCCAAAAGGTAGGACATCTCTCCACGTGGCAGCCGAGGCCCACGAGTCACGGGGAAGGAATTCCAAGACAATATCGATAGCTACGGTGAGGCTGTTGCTGGAAAGCGGCGCCGATTCAACATTGCGTGAAGACAGATCCGGCGACACTGCGCTACACATAGCCGTATCCTTGAGTTGTGATCCCTCCCTCGTCAAGGTAAAAAACCAGCTCCAACTTGTTCATTTTTCAAACACTAAATTCAAAATTTGCGGATTAAAATGGTTTTGCTGAAAATCTCCTTGAGGATTTTTGAATCTAATGTAAAGCAAATGTGTATCTACGTAAAAGTAGGACTGCTGCAGTTTTTTTAACAAATTTTGTAAAACTTTATGTTCGTACAGTCGCTACTGACTGGTGGAGGCCACGCGGCCGTGAACATTGCCAACTACAACGGGAACACGCCTCTACACTTGGCCGCGTCGATTTCAGATCGCACGAGCCTGGAACGACAGTCCGAAATTTGCGGGCATCTGGTGAGCGCGGGCGCGAGGTCGAACATTACCAATCGACAAGGTAAAACTCCGCTGGCGCTCGTCTCGGCCGATAGGAAGGAGCATCTCCGACGGGTTTTCTACAAAATTACGTAGTTGCTCGTCCACCGCAGCATATATATAGTGCTGTCAACGCGTTTGTTCCATAATTCTTTTCATTCATATTAATTTTTGTACATAATTTTGTAATATAATTGCGGTGGATATTTATAAATAACTATCGATGTGATATAATTAATAAAAAAATAAAAAAATCAACATTGATTTAAATACAGCCAGTATGAACAGTGAAATGTTGGAATGTCGGTTAGTGATGAGCTCGTGAGCTTTAAAATTTTTATCTTAGATATTATTATGATAAATATGTGTATACTAGGAATCTGTCATGTTTGACGATGGTATATAGTGGCTGATAATAATTATAAATAGTTTTACCCACTCTGTTTCTCCGATATTTTAGACTTTTCGTACTGTTACACACAGCAGCGGACTTATCAAAAAAGTAAATCAATTTTACTTGCCTGCAAACAGTGGATGAAAATGATACATTTTACTACTGAGTAGTAAAGAAAACACTTATCATTACATTCGTACTCAAATGCGTAATATTCTATTTGTAATTGTGTTTTTTTTTCATTGATATGATTTACAGGAACATAATAGGTGTTTAGAGCAAAATACATTTGGGCATTGTATTATAGAATATTACTCTAAATGAATCTGGATGTTATAGCAACATACAGGCTTTATTTCTATTAATAATCCAAAATAAAGCATAGGTTGTGACTATGTTTTTACTTTTCCATACATATTTTTAAGTAGTCGTACGATACGTTTTTGTCTCAAAATCTTAGATACTATCCATACATATATTTTTACGTATATGTACATGTCAACTAAAGTGGTCAAATTCATCGTAATGTATTTTATTACTATTACTAGTATCACCTTTTTGTTATAGCTGATGAACATAATTATTACAAATAATTAGATTTTGTGTAGAACATAAGAAAAAACAGTCTTCCACATAATGTCATACCAAACAAAATTGTTTTTTATCTTATATAAAAAAATTTTTATAATTGCATATAACTGTAAATAGAGTTAACGATAATGCACAGAAAGTTGTTATAGCATATAAAATCATTTCAACGAAATATAGAAAATAATTTTTTTTAACTTACAAACATCTTATACGCGTAAAATAGTCTTTGTTTCTTAATTTCTAAAAACTAGAGCACTTATTAATACATCACATAAACCAAATCTTACAATTATAATATATAAGCAGAACAATGATTTTAAAACGACAAAGGAAGAAGGGATGAATCAAATGTTGTGATAACGTACTTGCCTACTGTTTTCAGACAAATTGTCAGTAAACATATACATATACCGAATATAATGTACGTATTTTTTCAACTGTGCAAGCAATGTTCATTGTAATTTTTTGTACAAGCGAATGATACAAAGTATGTTAAAAATGATGTCTTATAGAAGTTGTAAAAAAAAAAAAATTAACTCAATAAAAAGTCGGCCATTTGTTACGAACATTTATGGTTATATAATTTTATTTTCACTATCAATATTCAACTGCATCATACAAAATATACAAGACTAGAAAATCTTTGGAAGTATTTCCGATCTCATAGATGAGCTTTTCAATCGATCAGAGTCCAAGAAAAACGCATTAATATTGGGAGACCTAACACTGTGAAAAAAAAAAAAAAAAAAAATAGAGTAGAAAAGCGAGCAATGATAATTGAAGATAGTTGAATATAAGTTGAAATCCAAATATATACCCAGCACAAAGCCACATATTTCAAATTGATAAAATACGTAGGTACACATTGTTGGTATTTTTCTACTCCACAGACATGAGTCTTTGATCCACTAAAAGCCTCAAGCAAACTCAACTCATTAATATGGCCAAAAAAAAATCTATCCTCAAATGGCACATCACATGATCGGCCAGCAAAGGAACCAGTCACCAACGGAGCACCCACGAAATGTCGATTAAGGGCGTCACCATCGAATGCGATAGCAGGTGATGCACTCGCACTCGACGATGCTCCAATATCACAAAGACATTTCCACATGTCCGCAAGACGCCTACAGGACAAAAGCCTATCTCTATTATAAGCGTAAAACGCATTTCTGGAAAGCACTTGCACCCTGTTACGCAGACAGCGAAAAGCTACCCCATGTATATCACGCCTGGTTCTCTTATACAACCTCCACTCCCTATTACGCTCTCGAATGAGAGAATGAATCTCATCCGTCATCCACGGGCAAGGGCGGCGTCGAGGAATAAAAGCACGGAAAGGAGCATGGATGTTAAAAAGGTTTGTAAGAGCAGTCGTAAAAAATTCAACTTTCTCGTCAACATGATACATACGAGCAATAGAATGCCAGTCAACCGATATAAGGTCACGCTTAAAATCATCCAGAACAAGGCCCCTGAATGAACGGGATACAATGGGCTGAGATTCAAAGGCCGGAAGAGGACAACGGATCTCTAATAATACAACATCATGCCTCGAGATACCAGGAGCGCTGAATTGGACCCTCCTCTCAACCATGCTCGGGTCGCTAATGCAGATATAATCTATGGTACTATCCGAGGTGGTAGTATGATATGTCGGATCAAATACCGTAGCCGAGAGGCCCAAAGCTGCAAATGACTCACGAAGTATTCTGCAAGGAGTAGTGTTGACTGTCCAATCAATATTGAGATCACCCAAAAGCAATGAGCAATCGAAAGCAGTCGAACAATTCATGACAGCGTCCTCAACGTCCGACCAATAGCCACACTTAGGTGGATTATACACAATAGTGCAGAGAAACTTGAGTTGCAGTATAGATAATTCGAGTGATAAAAAATCAGGTCGGAGAGAGTAGGCATCAGTACGAGCCGAACGAGAAACATCACGAAATTTAATAGAATCATGAATGTAAGCTGCAACGCCACCACCACCCTTACAGAGCCTATCATGACGAACGAGGGTATAACCCGGAATATCAAATTGGCCAAAATGTTTAGTCGGCTTCAGCAAGAACATGCAAACCATTGTCAAGAATGATCGATCTAATTTCCTGAAAATGCGGTTCAATAGATTGTGCGTTACAATGTGCCACTTTTAGTAAATTGGAATTACGTGACATAGTTTGTCGAAGAAATTTTACGATCGATGAATCTCAACAACAGCGGGCAGGCTGCCCTATCCGAAGTAGCATGAACGACAGATTTCAGCTTTGAATTCACACAATTTACGCAACGATATTTCTGTTTATCAGCGACCGTGCACTCACAACCAGGATGCTGCCCACTACAACGCTCACAAGATAACCGACCCGTGCAATTTACGGCAATGTGTCCCAATCCCCAACATTTAAAGCATTGAGGAATCGATACGTGATCCTGAACACGACAGCGGCTCCACCCAATCGTCACACGACCAAGTTCAAGTAGACGAACACGACTGACAGGAATGACCTCCACAACGCAAGATCTATGCTTTGAGAGTCTCTTGAGAGTTATCTAGCCACAGTATGACAACCTCTTTCTATTAGTTCTTGTCATTGTCAAATAATGTTTGCCTACCTTGGGGAAAAATTTTATTATCATTCAATCTGAAAGGTAGGGGATTTAAAAAAAAACTATTTTCGATTCCTCATTCCGAAGTAAAGCCGAGATGTGTTTGGAGCAGTTTGCAAGTCGTATGGGTGTTTATTGTTAAAATGCTATATTCCAAAGTTAAAACTAGTTTTCCCAAACAATAAAATAAACGTCTGCAGAAGAGTCCACATCCTCGAGCTTATGATAGAGTTAAAGCCCGTGGACCAGAGATACTCTGGCATCTCCTTTAAGCTGGATTGTAGGTATAGAGGAGTACGGAACACGCCCTGACAAGAAGTCAGAAGGAAGAAAGGAGTGGCTTTTGTAGGTGATGGTATAGCGGCGTTGTAGTTGCGGGCTGCAGACTCTCTACTGATGGTGGTGGCGTTGATACATCCCTACAGCTTCTCTGCTACTGCCGCTCAAAATCAATGATGCGAAATTGAAACAATACACCGGTAGCTTCTCTTCTACGTTATATCTCAGCTGTTGCAACGCCCGAGGTTTTAAGACCTATTATTTAATGCTTTAAGAGTTGCTCCGTAGGAATCATGGCAATATAATTATTTACTTATTGGTAATTGATATTTTTTAAAAAGGCTATGCAAGATATCGACGGTAGCAACAAAAGGTTTGGACGTGGAATTGTTTCTGTAAGTACGATAACAAACTACGACAGTGACAATGATGACAAGTTTGAAGACGATAACGATGACATGACAAAGACAACAACTAACTAAGAATCAGAGAAGTAGCGCGTATAGCAAGTGCTGTGATAACTGTGCTTACCGAGTGATTGCAGCTAAGCATGTCCCTGTTATTTTCTAGACGGCACTTTTTTTTGCCGTTGCATCGATGGTTTTTGTAAAAACAAGGGTGTGTTTTTTATTGTTATTATTCATCCTGAACTAAGGTATTTAACAGAAAACAGTCGGTTTTACATATGTTTAAAACAAAGGTTCTTTAACAAAAATTAGGATGGTTGTAAATTTCAGGATATCTTTTGCTTATAAATGTTATACTTATGTACGAGCAAAAACAGGTTTTTTTCCCTAATAAATAAGCGGAAATATTTTTTGGAAGCTAAAAACAGGAGTGTTTTTTGTTTACGGCGATAAGCACCGCCTACCACCTACAGAGAAAAGAAGTCCTGTTAGACTATTATTTGCTTTATTAATCAAATGCTGCTATAATTTATTTTTCTATTTTTTTGTGAGAACATTCATAAGAAATTGACATCTGTAAATCTATTTTATTATCAAGCTTTGATGGTAAGTTTGCATTCCCGACCTGATGAACGGGAGGGAAGAAGTGCATTTCCTCCCGCTCGTGGTGCGCACTAACGTACTCGGTAGGGAAGTAGTACATCTTCGTCCGCGTATTAGCATTGCACATGAGCAATCTACGCATATACGAGAATGTGCCACTTCTCTTCCTCGTGACGTAATTTACTATTTTAGCTTAACTTTTTTTTTTTAATTTGGCCACAACAAAAAATAAACTTCTATTATTTAAAAAAATCGTAAGTTGAAAAAAAAAATTTCAATAATCATTTATGCTTATAAAATATTTTTAAAAACCAGTAACAATAGTATGATATTATTTTTTGCCTTTTTTAAAAAAATGTTATATAATTGTTAACAAAAATTTACCAAGATATCAAACGGAACTTTGATGAACTATAAATTTACCTCTTGAAATGGTGCCGAAAACAGAAATTCTCTATGTATTCTTGAGAAACAGTTTACCGGAAAGTTTACGTATAATCACATTGTGTACTTTTACGAACAATAAAAAGTAGAGGATCCAGAGGTAAAAGAGGTCTAGAGAATAAACACTAAAATTTTATGAACCAATTCAGGAATTAAAAAAATGACGTATTTATATATATGCCAAATGTTACCTAATAAAATCGTGTGGAATATTTCGCCTCATGTAAACATAAAAAAAATCTAGCAGTGAAAAATCTCAAAAAACCATGGGAGATAGTTTTATTGTTCGATCAATACAACTGGATAAACATTCCCTTCCTCGCGCGTATATAAAATTTCCAATAAATCCGTGTATATATATTTGTCTCCGTGGAGAGCAATTATTACCAAGCAAAGCCAATAATCCCAACTAATAATAAGACAGTATTCCGGTTAACCAAAATAATTAGATCTGTTTATCTTTTGCCGGTCCCCCTTCTTCACGCGGGGAGTACTGCACAGGCCAACCCCGCGGCACGTCACAATTTCCTGTAAGATCCTTTTCTTACCGCCCATCTGCAGGTCTTTAGAATATTCGCGATAATGAGTAGCAGCGAGAGCCTATTTCCGTCAAACAAGAGCAGATTGTAATCGCGGCGTTGCGCCGTATCTCCGCAGCTGACGCCAAGAGCTCCTGAAAGAGGGCGGATTGTACTCGAAGCCGCGAGGGATTGCTGTTGCCAAAACCGAGAAAGTGTCTTACTGGAAGACAGCCTTTGAACTCGGTGGCTCTCGATGCTTTCTCGATCCTGGAATAGTGGATAATTCGAGGTTGTTTTCCCATGCCCCGCTTAATTTTACCGCTTCATTCAACAGAGCTGGTAAAATGTTTGTCGAATCGTGTGACTAAATGTAAAAATTTTAGTGTAAACACATATATGAACATTTTTTCAGTTTTCTACATACAAACCGATATTTTTACATTAGTCAATATGCCAATGTGCAAAGTTAACATTTTTTTTTTTTTTTTCATAGAATATCTCGATTTTGTTGTAGATTTAGGTCCAGAAACTGAAGGATAGGATTCACGTGTATTAATACACACATTATAATTATTTTCGTATCTCGAAAAAAGTCTGGTCACGCAATATGTATCCAAACCATCGATGAACTTAAAAACTCAACGTACCTTAGTCTTGTACAGATTTGTATCATTTATGAATAAAAAAATTCTCATTTCG